TCCCCCCAGGGAGCTTGACAATCCTGGGTCAAGCTCAAACTGCTGCATTGGCTGGAAAACTCTCAAGCCAGTGCGTTTCAGATTGCTGCTCTTTGTCAGGGTAGAACCTGCCTAGCCAGATCACCAGCTCCCTGCCTTCAGCTCCCTCTTTTTCGGGAAAATGTGCAGCTCTGTCTTGCAGGTGTTCCAAGTGTCAGTTAAAATGGCCACTCAGATTTGCACAGGTTTTTGTGCTGAAAATCCGTGGCACTTGTCAGCCAGTGTGAATCTCCTGGTCTGTGGGCTGTAAAGACCATGGGAGACGTGCAGTATCTGAACCGGAGTTACCGGAAAAGCCCCGATGGCCTCCATTGTGTAGTAGAGGAGTTCCTCTGGTCTGCTGCACTTCCCATGTGAGGCAGCGCCCTACCCTACCTTGGCTTGCCCTCCTTGGGCTACACCCACTGTCCAACCAGCCCCACTGAGATGCACCTAGTACCTCTGTTGGAAGTGCAGCAATCACTCACCCTCTGCATCACTCTCACTGGGAACTACACTCCGGAGCTGTTCCTATTTGGCCATCTTGGCAGAGCCAGCCTAAAAATTCCTATACTATATAATAAAGGCCATTTTTGCTTTGCATGATAGTACAGGGCCATAAATATGACCATGCAAGGTGAAAGCATGCAAAAAGATCTTTAAAATCAATAGGAGATATTATTGTTTCATGGTCCTTAAAATTTTTTGTGAAAGCATTTAAAACTCATTTATTGCTGGCTATAAATGTATAAAGAAGCAGAAAAATAGCAAGACTAATATTTATTTACAACACTGTAATTTAAAACATTAAAAATATTGGAAATTAAAGCATTTAATATGTTAAAGCAAAACAAAACAAACTTTCCAAGAGTAGTTTGAACAGTGTTTGCCTCTTCTTTTCATTGTATAACTTACAATACAGAGTGAGCATGTTTTCTATGTCTAGGCTAACACCTAAGTTTGGATCAGTTTCCACCTTTTATCTGTGGCATTTATACTGTTGTGAAATAGCTCCAAAGTTTCTTTAATGTGAGGTTTTTTGCCATCATTGCTTCCTCTAGGTTGCCTTTATCCTCTTCATCACAACCACTTTGCTTGTTCCTATCAGTAAATTTCTTTTCCACAGGTGCTGTGGGCTGCAGCTCCACAGTCTCTTGAGCAGGAGCAGTGTCAGCGTGTCCCTGGTCAGCCAGTTTTTCTACAACTCCATTCAAATTTTATTCCCAACATTATCACTTTTTGTTTCTTTACTGCAGTTTCATCTCTCTCAGCCAATTCTCTCTCTTGATTATACATTTTGGTAAAAGGTCATATGAATTTACTATTGAGAGACAAGGAGACAACACAACCACATGCTTTGCTGTGTGTGAACTGAACAACGGGCTCACAGTTACCCATCACTGACATATTTTGAAACAAGTAATATTTATTAGTCACTGGTCATGATGCACATCTGTTATTTACATAAGGACTTGTGGACTGAAGTGCTAGCAAAGACGCTTATAACTTTAGGCAATTACTTACAGTGAATATATTGTGGTAACTACAATGTTAATTGTATTGTTGTAGGACTGGTGTTATTTAGCTCAACACAGTAACTGATACTTGTGCATATTAGGACCATGTAAAGTGAAGACTGCCTGTATTTGCAGTGTTCAGAGGTGTGTGAATTCATCCATTTAGTGTTCTCAGCATTTGAAGATGACAAATAAATTACATCTCTGGCTTTCTCTATGAGAGTCTTCAGGAGTCTTTTCTATAAAGCCAAGAAATGTGTGGTTAAAAGAAATCCAAGAGCTTTCTATAATGGCCATTTAAGTTGGCTGAGTTTTAGATTAGATTACACTGTGTTATAAGGCAGGTGTACCAAGGGCTTTTAAGTAGAATATGGTTGAATTACAGTTTATTTGCTTTTATGAAAACCAGAAAGTTTTACAAAATTTCCCTTGCTTTAATGATTTAACTTTAGTTTTTATTATCTTTGAATTTCTTAGTTATAAGTCTTTTGATATGCAGAATAAAGACTTCAAGTCAGATCAAATATTATGTGTACCCTCTATTGTAAAATGAGCTTCTTACAAACCCAAGAGGCTCATTTTAAAGGCCTGTTTGCTTTCAGTCTCCTTGGGGGTTAACTGAACGTGCAGGAAGAGAAATTATAAAATTTGGATCTTTGACTTCTTGGAGAAGCAACAAGTTATTAGCATTATTTATTAAAATATCTAATCATGGTTCATTACTCTGATTTCAGAAGTATTCATCAATGCACATCTCCACATTCTCCCCCCAGAAAATAACAGAATAAATTATTTTAACCATGTTGGAAAGGTATTTACTGTTTTTTAAATCATAAAGTTATTTTTGATTTTAATAAACCAACTAACCATGAAGGTATTTCTCTAATGACAGCAGTTTCTGTGTTCCACTCTGGTTTTTATAAAAACTACCTCTAGTCTAGTAGGAGAAACAGAAATGAAAATAATTAAAATATGGTTTGTAGTCGGGGAGAGTGGTTATGAGATGCTATGAGACTACTGGAAAAACACCAAACCTAGCTTTGAGGAAAATAAGAAAAGCCTAGTGGAGCTAGCTAAGAAAGACAGCAGTAACTGCCTCAGCAAAGAAGGGAGGATAAGCAGTTCTTTCAAGAACTGTAGGTAAAGAGGCATGAAAACCAACAAATAAATAATTGTGAATTCTAGATACCAAAAGAAGTTCTGTGGGAGAGCTGAGGCTAGAGAGACAAACAGGTGAAAACCATATGCCATGTTATAGAATTGTACCATGACAGTAACAGAGCAAAGAAAGAGCTTTAAAAGAACAGCTACATGTTCTGATTCTAATTTTAAGAAAATCATTTCAGTAGCTTTTGTGAATGATCAGAAAGGGAGGCAGTAAAGAAGACAGTAGCCAGCTGAGAGGTAAAATGGGCTCAGTCTAAGTCAGCAGCAGTGGGAGTTGAGAGATTGGGGAGGCCTCTGGAGGTATTATGGAGGTAGAATCAACTGACTCCCTGTTTTCTGGTTTCAACTTGGTGATTACGTAAGATATAGAATACAAGTAGAGGGTCAAGTTGGAGGAAGTAAAATGGTAAATTTAGTTTTCAAAAACTTTGATGTTGAAAGAAATGTGAGTCATGGAATGAGATTTCCTGCCTAAGGTTAAAATTGCATTGTTGCATTTTGATTCTGCTCTTTGAATGGCCTAAGTGAATAACTCCTGAGAGTAACTGAGTGGGGAAGACAGAAGGTGCCACTACCCTCCCATCCAACACAGAGAGGCAATGTTAGGGCCCTGTGGAGACAATTGAAAGGCAGCTTCCTGTTGGAGATTAGATTAATAGCTTTATTATCCAGGATGAAGGAAGCAAATAGCTCTTTTTCTGTGTGTCTAAAGAGAGATCCAAGATGGCTGATCACTAACAGCTCGGGATTGTAGCTCCCAGTGAAAGCTCAGAGAATGAGAGGACACCACACTTTCAGACAAATTTTTGTCACTCACGGACCAGCAGATTTGTAGTGGAGGAGCGTCACAGGTCGCCAGCGCGACTCTTGTGGCCGGTGCCTTGGCGCAGCAGCTCTTCATGCAGAGTAAACGGGACTGGTTCCCTTACTGACCGGTGTTTGGAGCTCCGGGAAGGCAGAGCCGCTTGTTGCAGACTCAAGAAGGAAGCCAGACCAGAGATTCCCGGGCAGAAGAGCACCATCAGTCTTATCGCTGCTATTTTGGCCGGCGCAGTGGGTTGCTTGAATCCCAGCACTGGGAATCAGTAAATTGGATGTCGACTCAGAAACCTAATTAGAAAGGCGGTAATTGTAAAGACAACAGATGGATAAATGTATAATAAAGGGAAAAAACCAGCATAAGAAGGCTGAGCATACCCAAAATCATAACCCCTCTCCCTCTACAGGGGATTGCAGTTCCTTATCAGCAACAGAACAAGCCCTGATGGAAAAGGACTGTGTTCCATTATCTGAAGTAGGCTTCAGAAGGTGGATGATAAGAAACTTCTGGGAATTAAAAGAACTTGTTCTAACCCAACGTAAAGAAACCAAGAACTTTGAAAAAAGGTTTGATGAAATGCTGAAAAGAATAGACAATATAGAGAGGAATATAAATGAACCAACAGAGTTGAAAAATACAACACGAGAACTTAGTGAAATATGCACAAGTTTAAATCGCAGAATGGATCAAGCAGAAGAAAGAATATCAGAGGTCAAAGACCAACTTAATGAAATAAAATGACAAGACAAGAATAGAGAAAAAAGGATGAAGAGGAATGAGCAAAGTCTCCAAGAAATATGGGACTATGTGAAAAGACCCAATCTACGTTTGATGAATCCAAGCTGGAAAATACTTTTCAAGATATTATCCAGGAAAATTTTCCCAATCTAGCAAAGCAGGACACTATTCAACCCCAGGTAATACAGAGAACACCACAAAGATATTCCTCAAGAAGAGCAACCCCAAGGTACATAATCGTTAGATTCACCAGGATCGAAACAAAGGAGAAAATGCTAAGGGCAGCCAGAGAGAAAGGCCAGGTTACCCATAAAGGCAAGCCTGTTAGACTTACAGCAGATCTCTCAGTGGAAACCCTACAAGCCAGAAGATAGTGTGTCTAAACAAAATAGTCAGGGAAGGTGGTTAGGGCTTCAGGTACCAAAACTGGTGTATGACTCAGACTATTGGATTTTATGTTTTGGATGGTTCATGCTCTGAGAAGCAGCAATATATGAGAACAAGGCTGAAGGAGTGCTGTAACAACCCTGTGACAGTGGCTGAAGGATATACCAGAAATAGAGGACCTGATTCTCATATCTAGCACATATCTTAGAATACATCCAGGTCACCCACTGCTATGTACCAGAACTCTTCATCATGGTCACAGGCCAAAATATCTCATACAAAAAGCCATACAGTACCCTTTTCACTTTTTCTAAATGTAAACAGGAAAATAATCAAAACCATTTTTAGCTTACATGGAAGAATATCTCGGTATCTGTTTTTTGCTCTGTTGAGTGGATGATTCCCAGAGTTGAACTCACCAGGCAGATTCTTAAGTTCTAAAGCCTTTAAAAGGTAATAAATAAATAAATAAATAAGTCGTGTATTTACTATAACCAATAAAAAAGAACAAATATGCCTTTGTTTAGTGCTCATAAACCCCTATATGACATGACCCACTATTTAATGTATTGTGTGATAAGTGAAGTTAGATCCCCATTTAAAAAGTGCTATATAAAATATCTCAAGTTTCAGATGCCTAGCAATGCCACTTAATAAGAAAATGTTAAACTTTATGGAGAGACTTTCCACTTGAACTTCATTTTGTTCTTCTTTCATAAAAAAGAAAATACAGACTATTCACTTCTGAGAACCTATCCACAGATCTATCACTTTGTAAACAAAAATAACAAAACAACAGCAACAAAAACATATAAACAAAAAATTTATACAAACAATCTCACGATTTACCCTTACCCTTTGAAGAAATTACAGTTAGGACCCTAAGAATCCTTCCTTTCAAAAAATTTCCTTACTGGATGTGAATTCAACAAACACTATCTGAGCATTTAATAGGTACCTGGTCCTGTTTCAGATACTGGAATACAAAGACGAATTTTAATGGCCTTATCCTTAAGTAGTGAACACAGTAGTTAGAGGACATGTAATCAAATACCATGTGACCAATGTACAGAGACACTAGTATAAATGACAGCACCAGATTGGACCTAAAAGTCAAGAAGAAAAGCTCTTAGCCGGGCATGGGGGTTCACGCCTGTAATCCCAGCACTTTGGGAAGCCAATGCGGGGGAATCATCTGAGGTTGTGAGTTTGAGACCAGCCCAACCAGCATTAAGAAACTCCATCTCTACTAAAAATACAAAAAATTAGCTGGGTATTGTGGTGCATGCTTGTAAACCCAGCTACTTGGGAGGCTAAGGTAGGAGAATTGCTTGAACCTGGGAGATGGAGGTTGTGGTCAGTCGATATCACATCATTGCACTCCAGCCTGGGCAACAAGAGTGAAACTCTATCTCAAAAAAAAAAAAAAAAAAAAGAAAAAAGAAAGAAAAGAAAAGAACAAGAAGAAAAGCTCCTAAAGAATAATTAGCCTTGAACTGGGCCTTAGTGAGTCATCCATCAGAAGTTAGCATATGAAAAACAATATGTATGTAGAAGGAAAGAGGAGAGAAGGTGAAGGGGTGGAAATAATGGAGGCATACACGTCCCTTTGGGAAATTGTGACTAACATTGTAATAAGAGCACAGAGCACATGATCTAGTCCAACAACAACTATAAACGATCTTGTTTCATATATTAATGAAATGAGGAGGTAGCTAGTCTTACTCTCTGAGAATATTTGTGGAGAAAGCCTGAGAATCTATACATTTTCAAAGCTCTTGGGTAACTCTTGTGTAGTCAACCTAGCAATCACTGCCATGGGTAACAAGGAGGATGTGAGGTTTTAAGTAGTATGATAAAATGATCAAGTCTGTCTGAAAACCAGTTCTAAAATTAATATGAAAAAAAACCTGTGGGAAGAATGAGAAAAATTTCATAAATGAATAATGATGGGAGATGAGTCTTATTAGATGTGAAAAGACAATATGAAGCTATGCTAATTAAAAGAATAATACCAATAAAGGAATAAGAAAATAAGTAGAAAAAGTCCAAGAATAAATTAAAATACATGTAGGGCTCTAGTATATGATAAAAGTGGCATTTTACATCACTGAGGAGAAGTTCCAGAAGAATCTTGGGAAAACTGTTAGCTATACAATGCTGGGTCCCTATCTAACATCTTATACCAAATTAAATTCTAGCTGCAGCACATCAAAGATTTAAATGCTTAAAAAATCATAAAAGTACTAGCAAAAACATGAAATAATTATTGCAATCCCAGAGTAAAAGAAGCATTCCTAAAAAGCACAGAAAGCCCCAAATCCAGAACCCCAAAAGAAAAGATTGCCATATCTGACTACTAAAAATCAGCTATTTCTTCATGGTAAATACGCATGTGTGTGCACATGCATGTGCACCTGTGTGTAACACAAATGACAGCAGAAAAAACACATGTAAGACACACAAAGAGATAATTGTTTCCTTAAAGAGTTAGTAATCCATAAGGAAAAAAAAATAGAAAACGGAGCAAAGAATTAAAACTATCAGTTCCCTGAAAATACAAAAAGTTTAAAAACATATGGAAAGATATTTTTGTTCTCAAATAAATACCAATTAAATAATCAATAAGAGTTTGTCACTTAAGATATGAGAAAAGATCTAAACAATTGATAGCCCAAAATATTAAAATCTTTCTAGAAATTCGTTCTAAAAATATTTACATATACGCATACAGTGCATGAAGAGAGATGACGACTGCTGTTCATAAGAGTGAAGACTAGAACAATCTAAATGTCCAATGCTCTAAGTGTTGCACTGTAGTTAATTATATGGATAACTACCTTAATTTCAGAAATTAAATATTATAAGTACCTCAATTTTGGAAATTAAGGTAGTTATCCATATACTTAACTACCATGCAATACTTAAAAAAATGAGATACTACTATACATGCTGATAATATATTTGAAAATTGTATCTAGGTGGAAAACAAATTTAAGGATGTAAAGTACATTCCAACAATTTTCTTTAGAAGTTTACATGACACAATGAATAGTGTAAAGGGATCTAGAAAGTCACAAGAGAAAAAGAGAGACTTTCTATTTTATACCCTTGTATGCTATTTGGCTTTTTAAAAAATTTTACCATGTATATCTATTACCTTAAAATATATATAATATTTAAAAGCAAAAACAATGTACTCAAACCAAATAAAAAAAGAAAAGAAACCCCCTAGCAATGATGTAAAAAAAGAAATCACATATGGATTTTTGTTAAGAAAATATTTACCATAAACTCCTCCTGCATGATAGCAAATGCTGCTGTTTTTTTCTCAAGCATTTTCAAACAATCCTTGATGGCTGACTGCTCATGTAAATTAAATATTAATGGCCGAATCTGAGCCAACTGATCCAGTTCCCCTTCAGAAACAATTGTGTGTGTATCTAAAGAAGAGAAAAATTCACATCTGTAAGTTACTGGCATATATGTGAAGGGAGATTTTATTTTTGTTTCTGTTTCTCTTAAAGGCACAGCATTTAAGAGTCAACAGAAGTTAGCTTTTCCGCGGGTGAAGAGTCTTATTACTTTGAAAGAGGCTTCCTTTGAAAAAATCGTGGCTATGTATACCTTGAGATTAAACAAAATCTACTGTACTTGGAGAAAACTGTTCAGTGCTACAAATGCAACAAATGCTGTGGTTTGAGAAGTGTTCTGTTTCATAATGTGAATTGGGTATATGGACTGACAGTTATGCCAAGGCAAGAATGTACGAGGCTTGGATTTGGAAAAAGGGAAATTTTTCCCTCCCTGGGACCAAGTTTTCGGAAGTTCCTAGAGTCTGAGATGTAAGGATGCAGAGAGTCCACATCCTGATTAATTACTCTGAAACAGATTCAACACAAACACATACACACCAAGCATGGAGAGGATCTATGCAATGTAATTAATAAGACTGAATAATAAATACATATGGATACTTGTAACCAATATTAGAAAGAACATTCTATTAATATTTAATAGCACACATAGAATCCCTTTATTTTTTAAAATTATGGTCTTTTAGGTCATGTTGACAGTCAAGATTCCAAATATCTTAAATTTTATATATCATCTCCACTGGCCAAAATGCAATAAATCTAGAAGTAAATGGTAAAAGCATATTTTTAAAGTTTCAAAATTTTGAGATAAGATGTTCAAGTAAAGCAAGTTCTCATAATCTCTTTGCAAAGCCAAATAACATGAACAAAATTTAAGTTAATACCAGCAAAAAGATACATGAAAAACAATACAGAAAAAGAAAGAGATGGAAATTTCTAAGAATCTGCACATTCCTGGGAAGCACATCTTATCTTGGAACTCCACTATATCCAGAGGCTCTTTGTAGGGTTGGAAGTGAGGCCTGTTGGTTGGGATAGACAGGCACAGAAATCCTAAAATTTCTCACAAATATCTGAAACCTCAGTATGAGAGGAGGTCTAAGCAGGCTAGAAGGAGAGATAAAACTACCCCAAGAGTAGAAGCCATTTTGATCATCTTTGATCCCCAACAGAAAAACCCTTAGACTTTCCCATTGTTTCACCTTTGCTAGAGCAAAAGCTGGAGAATGCAGAGAGAACAAACAATGAAAATGTAGAAGATTGTAACAAACACTGGTGTTGACTCCCCAACACTGATTCTATCCCTATGGTTAAAGCCATTTGTGATCATTCCACAGTAAGATCTTTCCAGTAAATAATTCAGAAATAGGTAGGCTATTTGCGCCAACTATAGAAATAGGCAGGTCTTGCAAAAAAAGAGAAGCAAGTCTCTCTTCTACCCTCATCCCTCTGTACAGACATAAACAAAGAAGCATAAGGCTCTAATTATCATAGGCTGCCCTCTTATGGCCATAAAAGGAAGAAGAATAGCAAATGTGAAAAATAAAGAACCTATGTTCTTGATGACATCAGCAACTGATCATAGTGAACCTGGAATCATTCCAGCCAGTTTACAGAAAGGGATTTGATCTAGCTATTTGTTGCTGGTATCACCGTCGGGTGGGCTTGAAGAGCAGATGCCTCTCTCATGATCAAAGAACAACACCGCATGATGGTCTGCCAAGAAAAATTCTGTCTTTGCCCCAATGAGGAAACTGAGGAAGTTGGAGACCATTTTTTCTAGCCACTGGCTCCTGAATGACACCACATGAGCAACAATGGAGAAATAAGAAAGTCACTACCGTAACCGTTGGCTTTAGTAACACATCACCTTAGCTATGATGAGGACCAGGAATGCCAAGCTTGCATAGCAACAAAATGGATGCCTCTCTACACATTTACATCTTGGCTAAGTGCATATGATTGGTCAAGCCCAAATAAGCTACCAGGAAGTCTTGGAAAAAGTTATTTTTCATTTTTCTGCCTGGGCCATACAGGAAGGTGCACTAGGAGAAGGGTATGATTGATGTTGAGTAAGGGCATCTGTGACACCTGGTTAACATTTTAGCCATACCACGACCTTTGAGCTTCCTGCTCCTCGGCCCCTACCCCTTCAGCACACTTATCATTGTCCTCAGGCAAAATGTAGCCCTCCAAAATGTAGTTTATAAGGAAAGATAATGAGATCCAAATAAAAACGGAAATCAGGAAGAATTCATTACTGCTCAATCAACAAAATTAAAGAGATACACAAAGTTATACATGTTCATAACAAAATGGAATAAAACGTGAAACAGAAAAATAATACAATATAGCACGCAGAATAATTTTTAAAATCTATTCTAAAATGGAAGATAAGCTTAAAAAAGAAAATTCACTGTGTATGCAACATCTGTAAAAAGAATACGAAAATAATTTTAAATAAGAGTTCACAAGGAGATAAGAAAACAACAGAATAAGGTAAAAAAAAGTTTGTAAACCTAAGAAAATAAAGCTTAAAAGTACATAATTATAGCAATAAATTATAATCAAACTCTGCAAGAAACAAAGCAGATGAAAATCAACTTATTGACACAGGACAAAGATGTGTAGATACATTAATGAAGAGACGAAAGGTTTAAAAACAAACAGTAAAAGCTAATGCATGTGAGAACCTCATCAGAGGCTCAGGAGAAAAGTTAGAGACAGGGTGAGGAACTTGAGAAATTCTCCTTCATGAGGCAAGCTTAGTGGGGGGGAAAACAGCATCCACAGGAATGGCACAAAGCATGCCCAGAATGTTTTCTCCTATTTCCCTAATGGACCAAAAGCAGAAAAATCTGGGAAAAGGCATGAAACTCTATCACCCTCAAAGCACAAGTGAAGAAGACTCATTAACACGGGGTGTAGGGAAGACAGAAAAGCATCCTGGACCCAGATCATAAGATATTCCCTACTTCTGCAGAATGAACAGAATAACAAAGAAGGTACCACCTGAGGCCTTCCTAAGACTTAGGCTGAACAAGGACATCAGAGAATGTCACCCCAAACCAGGTTGACAAGTAAGGAAATTATAAATAAGAGTTCTCTACTGCTGGGAATAAGATAAGATTATGGAGAGGACCTTCTCTGAGGTGCATGTACAATAGGAAGACCTAAAGCAGAGGGTAAACACTGAAGCAAATCCTCTATATGCAAGGTAACCACAGCAACATCAAACCCAAGCCCTGCTCTGTTATTGAGTAAATGGATGCAATTTCTGACACTGAAGGCCTACAAAAAAAAAGATGCATGTCCATTCATATTTGCCTCAGCCTCTAGAACATAGATAAAAAATACCATAGCTCCTCCTTATCTGCAGGGAAATGTTCCAAGACCCCCAGTGAATGCCTGATAAGGATAGTACTGAACCTGATTGCCATCAACTGAAACATACTTTTGTTCATGTCTTCTGCCCATAAATATAATGCTTTTTCCATCTTAAGTAAGCACTTATAATGTACTGTGGCCATAACTTTGGCAGTCTAATGTGCAACAGCAAAACCTCAACGGAAGATTCATTCTTACCACAGATCAAAGCAACTTTAGCATATGATTTTCCTTCTTTCCTTATTAAGTCAAGAATTTTCACCTTTTCATGTAACAAAACCACTTTACAGCTTCCCTTTGGCATATCCAAATTACCAGCATCACTACTCTTTGGGGCCATTACTAAGTAAAATAAAAATTACTTGAACACAAGCACTGTGGAGGTCAAAACAGTAGATCTGATAACCAAGATGACTACTGACTGACTAAAAGGCAGGTAGCATATATAGCATGAATATGCTGGACAAAGGGATGATTCACTCCCAGGCAGGACAGAGCAGGACAGTGTGAGATTTCATCTCCCAGGCAGGACACAGCAGGACAGTGTGAGATTTTATCACACTACTCAGAACAGTATGCAATTTAAAACATTGTTGATATGTGGAATTTTCCACTTAACATTTTTAGTCTGTGGTTGACTGCAGGTAACTAAAACTATGAAGAGTGAAACCACAGATAAGACATTTTTACTTCTGTCTCTAGACTATATGATATCCAGTTTTCAACCAAAAAATTATACAGTACACACAGAAGTAACAAAAGGAGGAAAAAGTTGTCAAGAAACAAAGCAATCAACGGAAACAGACAGAGATATAACATATGTTAAAACTGTCAAGTGATGAATTTAAAATAGTGATAATAAATGTGTGAAAAGTAAGTGGGAAAACTAAACAACATACATGAACAAATGGGGGATTTCAATGAAGAAATGGAGGCCATAAAAAAGAATCAAGTGGAAACATTTAAAGTAAAAAATGTTTTAAAAAATTAAGCATGTCATTGATAGCTCATCAGTAGATTTTACAGAGGCAAAAAAAGAATTCATGAATTACAAAATAGGTCAAGAGGATTATCCAAATTAGGACACAGAGAAAAAAGGTAGATGAGGGGCAGAGAAGAGACCATCCAAGAGCTATAAGCCAATATCAAATAGACTAACATATTATACCTGTAAGTGGAATCCCAAAATAGAAAAGAAGGAGAATTGGGCAGAAGAAATATTTTAAAAGATAATAACTGAGAATTTTTTCCAAAATGAATGAAAGATACCAAGCCTCAGATCCAAAAGCTCACCAAAAACAATATAAGCCAGAAGATGAGTGACATATTTAAAGTAATAAAAAAATCCACACAAACAAATTAAGATTTCAGTAAATACATCACAAATTATAGAAGCTAGTATTATAGTAACAATAATGTATAACTTCACTTTTTCTTCACTACATGATTTAAGAGATGACATTTTTCTAAATTATTAGTCTAAAAATAAATAATTACTATAACTTTAGATTGTAACTCTACATTTTGTTTTCTATACAAGACACTAAAGCATTAAAAATATTTTATGTTTCAGGACACAAAATGTATAAAACTGTAATTTTGTGGTAACAAATGAAAAACTTAAGTAACATTTAAACAAACTGTGCTCCTTTAACAGTTTTGCTCCCCCCCCAAAAAAA